CATTAAATTCCAGTGAAATATATTTATGTTTGTGGTTGTAATGTGACAAAATATGGAAAAGTTCAAGGGGTATGAATACTTTTGCAAACCACTGTATTTCTGGTCCCTGCGCTTGGCCTCTTCCTTTAAAATCCTGTGAAAGCCTCACTGTTCTCTTTGGGTTCTGGATGCTGGGATCGTCCTGATCCAGACAAACACTGTTTGTAGAACATCTTTGTTCTCCTCAACTCGATTATGCATGGGTGTAGTGGTCTGTACCAGCAGGCTCAGACTCGAGACTAGGTGGTCCAGCCAGATCCACTACAAATGCACTGTAGACACACACAATACACACACACATACGATCAATTTATGTTGTTCAGAAACTAATACACACCTTCCTATAGGCTAAAATGGACTCCAGTGTGTAACAAGCCCAAACAAAACCGTCTCATCTTTTTGAGTTTTCACCTGATTTTTCAGCATGGAAGGTTGCTCAAAAGTGTGTTGAAAAAAACAAAAGAAAAACAGGAAATTTTACTGCCTTTCATGCCAGAGTTTTAGACTAATCATATAACATAATCTTATGTTAAGAAATGAGTCATTTTCTGTCAAATCTTAAAAACGTTAAACTTAATCTCACACAATGTCACTMATAATTATTAAATAAATTGACCAAAAAATATTTTCTTCTCAGTCTGTGAAGTGTTTGCCTTTTCTTCCTTGAATTTTGTATCAATTTTTTTCTTAATTCTGCTTAAAGACACGTGTCAATCTCAAGGTCTGGGGGCCAAATGTGGCCGCAATGGCATTTTATGTGGCCCATGAGAGCTTCAAAGATGTATTGATGTTTCAAATTAAGTGTCCAAGACCATAAACTACAACTCCCATAGTGCATGTTGATTATTTCAGCCTGAAATGACAGCATCCCTAGGTGCACAGGGTTCATTTTCTCTAGCTGCAGCCCTGTTGGGAAACGGGAAATTTCCACTTACAAGTCAGAAATTTAAACTGAAACACYGCTCTAGTGGGAATTCCCTGTCGACAAGTAGACAGTTAAGAATTTATGATTGCAGTTTATCAAAACAACTCTTCAGTGAATAAAACTCTTACTTTTACTTTTAATAGTATTTCTGTATTATTATTTCACCCTTAGTCAGTTGTACATGTGGTACTTTTCAGTGTTCTTAAAAGGACGTGTTAAAACACTGTTTCTACGCAGGAAACACCATGTAGAGCTCAGTTAGTGTTTGCTAGAGGGGCTTGGTTGTAGCAATGAGATGAGTTGTGTGTTTAGCCAAAGTTGAACACAAAACTTTTAAGTTAATGACAATGGACCCTTTTAGGGCCACCATAATGCTCATGTGTTTTAAGTTGTCCTCACACAAACTTTTGACACTGAATCTTGTGGTCATGTGTTTCTCAGTTTGTCCYGATGTGTGCATGTTTAAAGTAATATGTGTGACTGTTGGATAACTCCCAGAAAAGTAACGACTGCTTCCAAAACTGCCAACAGAAGAGAAACATGTGCTTCATCAAGGGAGGCGCTGACCTTCAGCCTCTCCTTTGTGATAATTTCCTCACCAGCAGGGCGCGCTTGAAAAGCATGTTCTGAAAATGATGTGCTGAAAAACGAGACACTTTCGTAAGCGAACGTCTCGGCAAAAGCTGAGGGACAAATGGGGATGCTGATTTTAAGACCTCTTTGTCGAGACGATTATGTGCAGAAAGCCTCAAACTAATGAAGCCGGTAATCGAGAAACAGCCCAAAACATTGCACATTAACTGGCCTTAGTGCGATTAATTATTAATTAAAGCTGCAAAATCCCACTCATTACAAAACATCCAGGCTGTTAAAGTCAGCAGCCCAAAGAGTTCTGCAGGGGAATGACCTCAGATGAATGAATAACTCTGACTCACATCAGTATGCAGGGAGGGAAGCCGACAGAAGGGGACCCTCAGGTTGTTATAGTTTCATGACTGGCTGAGTGTAAAAAGTCACCACAAAGACACTGACTGTACTCACACTTATTCATGCATTTAAGCTCCCAAAACACACTCACAGATTGCGTCTTTGCTCTCGAGCCTTCTCAGCRTTATTGGAGGTGGTGTTGTGTTTCAGAAGTGATACGGCGCCCGCTGCCATTGGCTTCTCCCTGCGGATGCTGACAGCACACTTTTGTGGGTGGGGGGGACGTCTCTCCTCTCCTTCTCTCAAGTCAGGCTCCCTGTTGGTGAAAGAGGAGACCTGACTCACCGTGGCACAGCGGCGACAGGTGCGAACAGCTCAGTTAGCGGGAGGATAATACCTTCAGGGGCTGCAGGTCTCATCCTGCGTGAGTCAGCAGAGGGGAGCGCTCAGGGATTAAAGGGATAGTCGGGATTTTGAAGCGAAGCTCTGTCAAGTATCAACAGTTAGGATCTGTTTGCAAACATTGGTTCAGAGTACCGTTCAACGCGTTTTTYATTGATATGTATCAGAATAGCCTCACGTCACTCCTGATTTTTGTTCTTGACCTATTGTTCATGGTTTGGCATCAACCATGCAGCCCACCAGACCCCGAGCTAATGCTAACGCTAAGCTTCAAAACAAGAACTTTCTGCTCTTGAGCTTTGTTAGCTGAAGGTCTTTTAAAAAAGATGAGTTTTACTGTTTGTATTTTCTAAAATGTTTACAGAATTGTAACTCCGTACTTTTGAACCACAAAACAACAGAAGCCTGAAACTATTTTTGGGTGAACATTGGTATCGGATCAAATAAACAAGGACATATAACATTATGCTACTTTCATCTCTTTTTAAGTAAACCTCACTCTACTCTAATGTTTACAGTCATTTTAAAATGTAATTAATTCAGAAAATCTTTTCAGGACCCCACCTTGATGATTTGAGACCCCAATGAGTCCCGACACTTTGGGAACCACTGTTCTAGATGACCGACCCATTGCCTGTTGGAGCCGCTGGAGCCACATTATTATATCCTCCCAACACAGTGAGATGTTAATAAATTGCCATCACCTGTTTTTTTTTATTTTGTATTTTTTTTTATTTTTTATAATAAAAACCTATTTGAGGAACAAAATACAGACAGGTTTTGTTTACTGCAGTGCAGCCATAAAACACAAGATCAGTACTTTCAGGATGTTGCGATTGCAACTTGACTGTTTATGTTCTTCGCCTTTCTTTTGTGCCCAATGTCATCAATCAGAACTCTGACAAAATCACCAGACTGTCCCTTTAACCCTAATATGAATGTAAAAGCTGTACTTTTTGTTCAGCATAAACAAATGTCCTCACCCTTTCAGTCCAACCCTCACAGATGAGAACAATCTGACATCTCATTCCCTGAAATTATAGGAGGTCAGAAAAGAAAAGTCAGCCACAAAGTCTGGTCAGTCAGTCTGCAACAATRTTCATCTGGAGACACAAGTGAAGCCTTTTAAATAAAATGCCTACCTTTCCTGCCCTGGAGCAGCAGTTTCAACGCCCGCAGAGAGGGAAGAATGCCTTTATCCTCGGACTGCTCTTGCACTGCGCTTCTCCCTGACAGAGCCTGATGATTGTGTGTGTGTGTGTGTGTGT